GGGGGGGGGGGGGGACAGGAGATCTAAAACAAGTAAGACTGGGCGTTGCTGGGCAGAAACAGGTGGCAGCTCAGGGGAGCCTGGCTGGGGTTTGGTGGGTGTAGAGTGCTTTCTAGAGGCACTTGTGCCTCTTACTGAAGACAAGTCGGGGTGCCCTAACAGGACCCCATGTTCAGCCCCATCTGCAAGAGGATACCTCAAGTGCCCAAAACTTTGGGCAGAGGGTGTGGTGGGACACTCTGTTCCTTCCCCAGAATCCATGGATACTGTGGAACTTGCCAGAAAGCTGCAGGAGGAGGCCACGTGCTCCATCTGCCTCGACTACTTCACCGACCCCGTGATGACCACCTGTGGCCACAACTTCTGCCGCGAATGTATCCGGCTGACCTGGGAGAAGGACAAAAGCAAGAAGGGCAGGAGGAAGCACAGGGGCTCCTTCCCCTGCCCCGAGTGCCGCAAGCTGTCCCCCCAGAAGAACCTACGGCCCAACCGCCTGCTGACCAAGGTGGCCGAGATGGCGCGGCAGCACCCTGGCCTCCAGAGCAGGGACCTGTGCAAGGTACACCAGGAGCTGCTCAAACTCTTCTGCGAGGATGACCAGAGCCCCATCTGCGTGGTCTGCAGGGAGTCCCGGGAACACCGGCCCCACAGGGTGGTCCCTGTGGAGGAGGCCGTGCAGGAGCACAAGGTAGGCCGGGACCGAAGTGGCAGGGGCCAAGGAGGCCCGAATGCGTGTGTGTGGAGGGGCGTATCAATCAGGCAGGAGAACAAGTGCTGTAATAAACAGCCCCATACACAGGAACCCAAGGTGGAAGCATCTGCTTGCTCCCTCAACACAGTAGGCGTGTGGTTAGGCCAGCAGGGTGTCCCCTCCACTGTTACTCAAGAGCCCAGGCTGACAAAGTGGCCTCTATAGCCGTCTGTGTGGGTAGGCCAGATGACTCTCTGTAGGGGAGGAAAAAGCCTTTTTCTTCCACCCACCTAAGGCTCTCAGGCTGGGGGCCCCTAAATTAGGCTGAGCAAAGATGGACGAACAGAAAGACAAACTGTTATTAACACGTGTGGCCACGGGGCAGAAGCCACAGCAATGAGTAAAGGGCGGGCTTCTCTGGCATCTGAATGAGGAACAGTATATTTGAAGAGAAGCGACAAAGGGAAAAGTGACAAGCTCCCAATGGCGGCCAACTGAGAAAGTGTCTCAGTCCTTTCCTGCTGCTGTCACAGAACACTGGACTGGGCAGCTTATAAATAGCAGGAATTTCATGCTTATGGTTATGGGGCCTAGAAGTCTGGGATCAGGGCACCCACACAGTCGGATGGGAGCGCCTTCCTAGTACAGTGACTTCTCACTGTCCTCATGCGGAGGAAGGGGCTGAGAGCTCTCTGGGGTCTCATAAAGGCACTAACCCCATTCCTGAGGGCTCTACCCTCATGACCTAATCACCTCCCAGAGGTCCCACCTCCTATTTCATCACCTTGGGAGTTAGGATTTAACATGAATTTTGGGGGACACGAACATTCAGATCATAGCAGAAAGTAAATATTTGGGGGAAACTAATGGAAGATAAGAGTCATCTGTATGGGTCCCTCGCAGTGCCCTCTTTCCACCTCCATGGCCATAAATTTCCCTGGGAGGCAGACTTGTGGCAGCCCTCACTTCTCAGCAGTTTGTGCTTTTGGTCAGATAACAGGAGCCCTGGAAAGCACCTTTCTGCATCTGTTTTCATTTGCCTTCAGCTCAGAATAATCCTCCTGCCGGCCAGGCACATTTTGGGATGGTGTATTTCCAGCTCCTTAGGGTGGGCTTTGTGGTGCATGCAGCTTCAGAGGGCCCCTCCTGACATGGGTGTGCAATGGGGGGGGATGGGGGGGGAGGTGCGGCGGGGAGGGGACCTCTAACCCCTACCCGCGGTCTGTTGTCCGCAGCTGAAGCTGGAGGAGGACATGGGGCGCCTGTGGGAGGAGATGGAGAAGACCCAGAAGCTGCAGACCAGGGAGCAGCAGGCCTTGGCCAAGTGGCAGGTGCTGGGGCTGTGCAGAGCAGGCACGAAGGCCCAGCCCAGTCAGGCCCCAGGGCACAGCATGGGCAGGGCCTTAGAAACCTGCGGACCCTCTGGGTGGGACTGTCACGTGTGGATGAGAGCACAGGACCCCAGAAAGGCATGGGATTCCCGCCAGAAACAAGACTGAGAATGTGCGCTGAGCTCAGGTTAACTACTTCAGAGACACGGGGAGCCAGGCCAAACGGAGGCCTGGATGCTGCCCTTTGGGGCTCAGGGCGTCATCCCACAGTGATGGGGGACTCTGCATTGCCCCCGGCTCTGCTCCCCCCCCCCCGCCTGCTGTACTGGCTTTCTGTGGGTCACGGGGTCCCAGGGAGACGTGCCAGCATCCCTGGAGCGGCCCCTCCAAGCTGTTGGGCACGAGAGTGGACACTGTGGCATTCACCTCCTGCCCCAACCCCGCAGGAGAAGGTGGAGGAGCGGAGAAGGCGCATCCTGGCGGAGTTCGAGAAGATGGGTGTCCTCCTAGAAGAGGAGCAGCAGCGCCTCCTCCAGGTTCTGAAAAGGGAGGAGGAGCTCACGGCTGCAAGGCTCCAGGAGAGCGCGGAAGCACTGGAGCAACAGCGCCACACCCTGGAGACGCTGATGCTGCGGCTGGAGGACAGGAGCCAGCGCGAGCCGCTGCAGATGTTGCAGGTGTGGCTCCTGCTCACCTGGCTGAGGGAGGGCGAGAGCCTGGGCTCAGGTGTGGCCCACCAACAGGGAAGGCTTTGTCTCTGTCACCTCCGGCTGTGTGACAAATGCCACAGCCTGAGGGCACAAACAACAGACTTTTACTGTCTCCCAGTCCTGGAGGCAGGAATCCAGGATCCAGGTGCAGGCAGGGCTGGTTCTCCTGATGCCCCTCCCCTTGGTGTGTGGATGGCCTGCTCCTCCCTGTGTCCTCACATGGTTGTCCCTCTGTGTCCTGATCTCATAAGGACCCAGTCACATTGGATTAGTGACCTCATTTCACCGTTTTTTGGTTTGTTTGTTTTTTAAGATTTTTATTGAGGAATTGGGGAAGGGGAACAGCCAAGTTGTTGTCCTTCAATCTTAGTTGTGGAGGGCGCAGCTAGCTCAGCTCCCAGTCCAGTTGCCATCCAGCCGCATGTTGGCAGCTTGCCGCTGCTCACCTCAAGGTGCTGTGTTCAATCTTAGTTGCAGGTGGGCATAGCCCACCATCCCATGCGGGAGTGGAACCAGCAACCTTGTTGTTAGGAGCGCGTGCTCTCACCAGCTGAGCCATCCTGCCACCTGTTGGCAGCTCAGCAGCAGCAGCTCAGCTCGGGCCCAGCTCACTGGCCCATGTGGGAATCAAACCCGCAACCCTGTTGCTCAGAGCTCGCGCTCTTAACCAACTGAGCCACTCGGCCTGCCCTCATTTCACCTCTTAAAAGGCCCCTCTCCAAATACAGCCCCATCTGAGGTCATGTGGATTTGGGGGCCACAATCAGCCAGACAGGCTCTAGGCCTAGACACCTGTGTTCTGCATTCCTTCCTAGCCTTGGGGCTGGCCCAGAGGCAGCAGGCATCCATGTGATGATGTGGGGCAGGGACACATGGGCCAGGATGGGCCCCCATGACTTCATGGCAGGAGCAAGTCATTGACTCCACCTGAGGGGAATGAAAACGGGGAGGAGCAGCAGGCCAGCCAGGGATGGGCCTGCTCTCTGAGACCCGGGAAGGCTGACAAGTGGGTGACTGGCTTGTCAAGTATGTGGAGTGGTGGAACCCATAGCAAAAACTACATTTCACATTGTGAGCCATCACACACACACACACACACACACACACACACACACACACACGTTTATACAGCTGAAGCCAGTGCCACGTGCAGAGCCAGCCCCAGTTTTATGCCTGTTGTCCTGGCATCTTGGGTTTTGTCCCCAATAAGTGACCTGGTGTAGATGACAGACTATGCACGAGCCCCAACTTTTGAGGAATACTTCGTCTTCTAATAAAAAGCAGCCTGTTCACCACCCAGTAAACACTCCTGACCCACCTAAGGCCCACAGTGTAGAAGCACACTTGGGGCCCTGTGCCTTTCCACCTTCCATGTCCTCACTCATGTGCAGAGGAGAGCAGGAGGCCTGGGTGACCCAGATGGGGCTCCACTCTGGGGACAAGGCCATGGAAGCATTATAAAGCCTCCTTGCTCTGCAAGTCAGAAATGTCCACACAGGGTGCTTGGGGAGGCCCCAGATTCCTAACGAGTCCTTGCCCATCTCTCTCCCTCTGTTTTCGCAGGATATGAAGGATCCCCTGGGCAGGTATATGGCTGCCCCAGGTGGGGGCCGTGATGGGCACAGGGAGGGCTCCGCATGGGGCCAGAGGGGACAGTAACATCTGTGTCCACTGGAGGAAGAAGTGTGAGTGTGCAGTATCCAGAGACCACGCCCACCGTGCTAAGGACGGTCTGCAGGGTCCCGGGGCAGATAGACGTTCTCAAGACTTTCCAAGGTAAGTGGGGCCAGTTCTCTTGGCTGAGGGGCTTGACCTTCACTGGACATTCACACTATACCCTAACCAGCCGCTCCTAGGAGATGCTCAAATAGCCCCCAGTTCATCTCACTGGCACTATCAATATCAACAGCTGGGGTATGGCCCGTGCAGTGACCCAGGCTCACAGGATTCAGCATAGGCGAGGCCTGAGGGGGGAGGGGGTTAGGGAGAATGGGGGTGATTCAGCCCCTGTCCCCTCGACCGGGCCTGTTTGCAGAGGATGTGGTGCCTGACCCTGCCACAGCGTACCCCTACCTCCTCCTGTATGAGAGCCGCCAGAGGCACTACCTGAGCACCCCGCCAGATGGCACACCCTGCAGCAAGGACAGGTTCCTGGCCTACCCCTGCGCGGTGGGCCGCCAGACCTTCTCCTCAGGACGGCACTATTGGGAGGTGGGCATGAACCTCACCAGTGATGCACTGTGGGCCCTGGGTGTGTGCAGGGACAATGTGAGCCGGAAGGACAGGGTCCCCAAATCCCCCGAAAATGGATTCTGGGTGGTACAGCTGTGCAAGGGAAAGAAGTATGTGCCCCTGGTGTCTGCCCCAACCCCCATCACACTGACAGAGCCCCCCAGCCATATGGGCATCTTCCTGGACTTTGAGGCGGGGGAGGTGTCCTTTTACAACGTGAATGGTGGGTCCCACCTGCACACCTACACCCAGCCCACCTTCCCAGGCCCCCTGCAGCCCTTCTTCTGCCTCGGGGCCCCCAAATCCGGCCAGATGGTCATCTCAACAGTGACACTCTGGGTGAAGGGATAGGCATGCAAGTTGGGGAGGCATGGACACCCCACTTTCTCCCAAAGATGAGGTGCTCAGCACCACTCCCTGTCCTGATTTCCTCGGGTGGAGCAGTGGAGAGCTATTGCTGTATGGGGTGGGCTCACCAAGCCTAACCATAATAATTAAGTTATATGTTAAAAGGCTATATTCACGGGTGCGTCATAGGTGGAACCTGCACCAATCTCTAAATATCTACCTACGTACCAGGCAAGAGTGCTGTATTTTTATTTAGCCATGTCCCGCTCCACCCGCCACTCACTGGATTGTGCTGGGTCCTGGTTATTATAGGTAAAGCTGTGGCCTCACAGGTCCACCTTTGTCATCAGCAATTCCACGTTTGGGTCCTTCACTGGGGAAACAAGAAAGTACGACTTTTCAAGCTGAACCCCTAAAAGCCTCAGAGCTGCCCACCCCCATCCCTTCCCACCCCCTTAAGTTGCATCTGCGGGGCAAAATTCAGAGTAAGCACTATACCCTGACCGGCCACTCCTGGGAGATGCTCAAATGACCCCCAGCTTATCTCATTGGCACTATCAATATCAACAGCGGGGGTACGGCCCGTGCAGTGGCCCAGGCTCACAGCTGGACTCAGTATAGGCGAGGGGGTGAGGGTGGTCAGGGAGAATGGGGGTGCCTTCATTCTCTCTCTACCCCACCCCCGCAGTTTCAGGCGCATTAACAGCCCTGTAACAGTCACTAGCACACCAGAATTCCAGTCAATGTACTCCTACCTCAACAAGGCCAGAGTCCCCGCGGGTCGAGCCTCTCAACCCATTTATTCTGATCGTGCCGGGGCCGGGGCGCCCGCCCGGAGATGCACGGGGGGCAGCTTGGGGATTCCCTAGTCCTCGCGGTCGCTGCACTGCGTGGGGAGCCCAGTGACCGTGCGGGGCGCCCTACCGGCCGGGCCCCTGCACCCCATCCTTCCCGGGGCCCGAAGAAGAGGCCGGGGTGCACGAGCCAAAAGCGAGGCGGAGCGACAATTGCCCGCAGGCGGTGGCGGTGGAAGCGACGCAAGGTCAGCTGGCGTCTGTCCGACGGGCCGCGTGACAGGCCGCAGCCAATCCGGGGCCAAAGCGGGTTGTTCCAAAAAAAAAAAACCCAGCTGCTTCCTGCTTCCGCTGTCTTGTCTTCCTGTCGGAGTCTGGGAGCCGTCCCGCCCCCGCCTCCCCCGAACCCCGCGCGTAGCTTCCCCTGCGCCCCGCGACCCCGCAGCTTCCGCCCACCCAATCCCTACCCACGGAGCCCTGCGCTTCGCGTTCCCAGAGTCCCCGCGCCTCCCGCTCCCGGACGCTCGGGTCTCCCGCACGCTCCCCAAACTTCCTACGGCGGTAGGCCAGCGCCAGCTCCACCGCGCTATGGCCGCCCCCGACCTGTCCACCAACCTCCAGGAGGAGGCCACCTGTGCCATCTGCCTCGACTACTTCACGGACCCGGTGATGACCGACTGCGGCCACAACTTCTGCCGCGAGTGCATCCGGCGCTGTTGGGGCCAGCCCGAGGGCCCGTACGCCTGCCCCGAGTGCCGCGAGTTGTCTCCGCAGCGAAACCTGAGGCCCAACCGCCCGCTCGCTAAGATGGCCGAGATGGCGCGGCGCCTGCACCCGCCGTCGCCGGTCCCGCAGGGCGTGTGCGCCGCGCACCGGGAGCCGTTGGCTGCCTTCTGCACTGACGAGCTGCGCCTGCTGTGCGCGGCCTGCGAGCGCTCCGGGGGACACTGGGCGCACAGGGTGCGCCCGCTGCAGGATGCGGCCGAGGATCTCAAGGTATGACGTGGGGTCCCAGCCAGCCCGGGGTCCGGAGGATGTGGGACGCGGCCTGGCCTGGGGTTTTGGGAGGCTCAGCCTGTTCTAGGCCGTCACTTTGTGGTGCTGGGGCATCGCTCACCAGTGGGGCGCCCACCTGAGGACCTGGGAGAGGGGGCGTGCTCTTTGAGGCCTACCGAGGTCCTGCTATGGAGGGTACTGGGCAGCTGTGACTGAACAGTGGTCGGGATGGAGCCCAGAGCAAGAGAAAGTGGGAAGAGAACCTCAGAGGTGGCCTTCACTCAGAGGTGGGACAGATGAGGACTGTCACCCCTGGAGGGAGGTGAGTTGTGGCCAGGGACCAGTGGGGCCTCATCCAGTACTGAAGTCCTGGTGAGAAAGCTGTCAGGAACCTGCTGCTGAGCCACACCCTGGGAACACAGAGCCATTGCCCTGGAAGGCAGACACCAGGGCCCACCTGGTTTTTCTTTCTGAGTGGAGTACTTGGCGCTACCACTGCCATCTGATAAGCCAGGGCTCAGCTGCACTTGGATCCCAGGCTGAGAAGCCTTGTGTTCCTGTTCTGGAAATGCATTTTCTTTTTTTTAAGATTTTTATTGGGGAATTGGGGGGATGGGAACAGTGCTGGGGAGTTGGGGGAAGGGGAACAGACAAGTTGCTGTCGTTTTGTTCTTCAGTTTAGTTGTGGAGGATGTTGCTTCACTGGTCCAAGTTGGCACCATCATTGCGCTCCTCCCGGGTGAGGCAGATCAGTCGCCGGCTTCTGGACGGACGGCCGCTCACTGCGGCTGCTGGCCGCTCACTGCTGGCTGCTGGCTACATACGGTAGCCCATGGCAACCCACTGCCACAGGGGCTGCAGCCTACGCCGTCGCCGGCGACTCAGGGCAGCCCAGCTCCAGGTTGAGCTGTTGTTCAGCATCTTAGCTGTGGAGGGCAGTGTCACTGGCCCTCATATGTGGGATCCGAACTGGGGCCCTCTGGCATCCCAAGCTAGTTCTTAACCATCGCGCCACTCGGCCGGCCCTGGAAATGCATTTTCTTAAAACCCAAACTCATACCAGCGCTCCTCCCCCTGCTGGGAACGTCAGGGCAAATGCTCACCTGGCCCACCTGGCCTGCTGCCTGTGGAGGGTGTGCTCTGGGAACTCACCTTTAAACTTTTTGACTGGCTTGCAATTTGCTTCATGGCCAATAACATGTGTCTGCTGAGGTACCCCAAGTACAGGGTTTAGCCAGCATTAGAATCAATATTTGGCTAGTCAGTCACTATCATAGAATAAGCTTTTGGAACACCAGAATAAACCTGTTCCCCGAACCATGTCAGTGGGCTTGTCTTGTCATGGATTCTTGTGGTTTTTCTTCTCACTTTAAGGTACTGCATGCAGGAATGTCCACTCATATCAGTCTGGCAGGTTTGCAGTCTCACCAAGCACCCTAGTCAGGGTGCAGAAAGTTATCATGAGAGCAGAGTGACTAGCAGCTCTCCAGAGGTCCCTTCTGGCTGACCTGATAAAGTCTCATGGGGCAACATTTAGCCCTTTTTTGTAGGGGTAGGAAAACCTTCCCTCTACCCTGTTAGGCTCTGTGCCTGAAGTTTGCAAATTAAAGTGACAAAAGACAGATTAACTGATGAAGACATAATTTTACTAGTTTTTAAAAAAATTTTATATGGCACAGTGACTTCACAGAAGTAAAAAACCCAAATAAATGGTTAGACTCAGGAACTTATATTCCATTTTAACAGAGATGATAGATTATGGAGAAGTGACTAGACAGGAATGGGGGTTTGGGTTTCTAGGGCTGATAACTTGTGGGAAAGGAACTAGAAGCTATGTGGGGGGACTCATGGAAGGTGGACGTTGTTTTAATAAGGTCTGTTTAAGGCAGACTCCTCAGGGATGATGTCTCATCTCTGGTGAGGAGTGTGCTCCCTTCCTGGTACCTGCCACCCTTCTCCCAGGAAATCCATTTTTGCCTTTAGGTAGGAAGGAGGAGGGCAGAGGGTTCTTCTATATCTGCTGTTTCTCTGTCACCTGTAGCACTAAATAATCTTGATGCTAAAGTGGCTTGACTTAGGATGTCATGATTCCCTTCACTGTACCGGTGTACACTTTGTCTTTGTGCTGGGGATGCCCCAGCAAACATGGTAAACTGGGTTGAAGTAAACAGTTGGGCATTGCCTGAGGTCAGACTGGAGGTGGCCAGATCCAAGTGTTCACATCCCCTGCTCCTGGGGCTCCTTCTGGTAAAGCTAAACAGTGGCAAGCCCAGGACAGGCACAGAAGCAAAAGGGGTGGGAAGGCTGACGGGAAATGAGGGGCGGCAGGAGAAAGGAAATAAAGGGCAAGGGGCCAGGTGTCAGCCTCGGTGGTGGGAGGCTGTGCCGGGTAGAGGGCGTCTCCTGGCAGATTGAGTTTGCCCTGTCCCTTGTGTTCCAGACACAGTTTCCCACGACTGGAACCCGCCTACCAGGTGTAGGCTCGGCTGGGGCTGGGCAGCGGGAGCGGGGACAGAGCCGGGCGGGGTCACTGGCTGGCCTCGCCTTCCTGCAGGGCAAGCTAGAGAAGTCTCTGGAGCACCTGCGGAAGCAAATGGAGGACGCATTGCTGTTTCAGGCCCAGGCGGAGGAGACCTGCGCTTTGTGGCAGGCAGGTGGCTGGGCGCCGAGGTCCAGGAGGTCGGGGGAGGGACGCCACCATTCACACTCGTGCTTCTCATAAGGCAGCACCCCTGCTCCAGACCCTCCACCCCCGGGGTGGGTTTGGGTGGGGGATCCCATTGGTGGGTTTTAGGGTGCAGAGGCATTACGTGGGGAGCCCCGGGGGTGGGTTTGGGGGGTCCAGCTCGCCCTCTGCTGTGCCCCGCAGAAGATGGTAGAGACCCAGCGGCAGAATGTGCATACGGAGTTCGAACGGCTGCGCCGCCTACTGGCGGAAGAGGAGCAGCGGCTGCTGCAGAGGCTGGAGGAGGAGGAACTGGAGGTGCTGCCCCCGCTGCGGGAGAGCGCAGCCCGGCTGGGGCAGCAGAGTGCCCAGCTGGCCGAGCTCATTGCTGAGCTGGAGGGTCGCTGCCAACTGCCAGCGCTGGGGCTGCTGCAGGTGAGCGCGCCGCGGGTGGACATGTGGGGGCTCTAATGGGATGGCATGCAGTCAGGGAGCTGGAAAGGGGAGGAAGCCCTAGGTAGAGGACTTGGCCTGACTTCAGCCTCTCCTGGATCTCCCGTGTCATAACTGTGAAATGCTGGGGGTAGGGACTGAGGTGTCCCAGGTGTTACTGCCGGTCCCTGTGGATATGTTGTAGCCTGGGGCATTGGATATGAATCCTGATCCCCACTGAGAACTGCGGATGGCACCCACCTGCAACCCCTGTTGGGGACTGGACCTGCTGTGTGGTGGGTAGTAGCATTCAGGATCCAGGGCTAGTGTTTAGAATTGTAACTGCTGTCACTGCCCGGCCTTCTGAAGGTTCAGGCCCACTGGGCTGAGGGAAGGCTAGCAGTTCCATAGGAATCCAGCACAGGCCCCATGCTGTCTGGAGAAACTGCCTGGCCCCTATCCCTAGATCTTTGTGCCCCAGGCCAGAGTGCAGCCCAGGGGGCCTCCTGCTGGAGGTAATCCTCTGTGGAGCCTCAGAGATGTGCATGCCTTCAGGGACCAGGAAGAGGCTCCTGCCTGCTCTCCTGGGGTTTGAACTTGGTCCTTTGGCCTTTGTTGAGCCATTGAGTGGTTTTAAGCCTGGGAAACAGAAAGAACCCAGGGCGAGTGTCTGGCAGGGATTGCAGGACATTGGCAGAGGTGGCTATGGTTAGTAACAGTGGGATTGGGCGGCCAGCCAGCAGGTGAGGGGGAATGAATGGGGCTAGAGAAGGGGCAAGAGGGAGGTGGAGATTCTAGCAGGAAGAATCAGCCCAGGAAGTGAGATAGGACCCCTAGATCTGTATGAAATGCAATTCGGGTTCTCAGCTGAGGTGTCCCAGTGCGTGGGTGGTCTCGGCCAGCCTAGCTGCATTTCCACCAAGTGGTCGCCTGCTCCCGCATCTGTTGTCCATCTGCCCCCTAACTGCTCCCCATTTCTCCCATTTACCCCACTGCCCCCACTTCCTCGTGTATCCTGGCCCCCTAGCTCCTCACCTCCCCAGCTCCCCCAGCTCCCCTGATCTGTGTTGGGTGGGATAGACCTGCTGTGTGGAGGGCGGGAAACAGCTATGGGCTGCACCATGTTTACTGGTATGAGTGGGGAGGTCAGGAGGGCTCACACCTTCAGCTCACAGTGTTGGGCAGGAGGCCTGCTACAGGGAACACCCATGCTGGGTTCCTGACACCAGGAGTGGGAGGTGCCCACGGCCCAAAGAATGGAGGAAGCCAGGGTTTGGGTAACTTAGGATCCCATTGCCTGGGGCCCCAGCTGCCTCTCCAGTCCTCCCCTCCCAAGTCATTCTCCATTGGTGTAGAACATTTTTTAAAGAGACACATATCTTAGTCCCCACTACCTAGAGTGGCCAGGTGGTGTCCACAGAGGCCAACTCCCCTCAAGGTCCAGGCCCTCTTACCTCACTCCTGGGCAGGGGGGTCCTTGCTCCATCCCTCTACTGAGTGGGTGAGGGCAGCCCCAGGTCTTGTGACAACCAACCCCCCCGCCCCATTTCTCTTCTCAGCACCCAATAAAACAAATAAGGATGGCTATTTCTAACTGCTTTGCACCCAACCCCACCCCAGACCCCTCGTGCCCCCAGGCACTTTGCATGTGCTTCTCCCAGGCCTACACCAACCCTGTGTGTCCTATTGAATTCTCTGGGCTTCAGAAACCTACCATTCTCTTTTTTTCTTTGAGGCCTGGCAGGTCCCATACCTTCCCCACCCCCCACCCCACCCCTACTGCCCTAGACAGGCGGAATCAACTACTGTGTATGTGAAAATCTCCCACCTCAAAGGAAAACCTCGTTGGGCACAACATCTTACCTGTCTCTGTCCCAGGGTATGGCCTGGTAGCCAGCTATGTTGCTCGAATGACCGCATGTCGGGTTCCCTGGATTGACAGTGTGCCCGGCAGTGTTCTAAAAAAACAAACGAGCTGCTTGCTGCCGGGAGTTGGGGTCCCAAATAACAATGTCTCTGTCAGCTCAGGCTGCATTACAAATGGCACAGATGGGTGACTTAGGCAACTAATACATTTCTCAGTCCTGGAGGCTGGAATATGAGATCTGGGTGTGGGCAGGGACTGGTTCTCCTGAGGCCTCTCCCCTTGGTGTGCGGATGGCCATCTCCTCCCTGTGTCCTCATGTGGTTGTCCTGTGCATGCCTGTGTCCTGATCTCTTAGAAAGATGCCAGTCATGCATTAATGCCTACCCTAGTGACCTCATTTTAATCTAATCACCCCTTTAAAGACCCCATCCAAATACAGCCCCATCTGAGGTCCTGGGTATTAGGGCTCCCACATGTGGATTTGGGAGCCACAATCAGCCTGTGACCTGAATACAATGCTGTGTATCATGGGGGAGATGAGCAACCAGGTGGAGGCCTCACCTGGAGTAGGGCTGTGTGAAGATCTGAGGGAGGGCAGCCAGTGGAGGCTGGGCAGGCCGCCTGTGGGGCAGGTGGGGGGTGCGAGCAGGCGAGGCTGCAGGCACCAGTCAGCTGGGTGCTGGGAGCCAGGAGGCAAGAAACTGAGCAGGTGCAGGCCAGGCTCCCAGGACCCTACCCTGCCTGTCTCCAGCACCCATGGGTGCTCCAGGCTCTGGGTGGGTGAGCCAGCAGCTGGATACCCCATGTCCTCCAAGCATGTGGAGGGAATGGGGCTGTCTGCAGGCCTGATTGCACCCCAAGCTTCTCAGTGTCCTCGTGTCTGAGCATGCTTGGGACAGCCCAGGGGCAGTTTCTGACCATGTATGTGGGTGTGGGTATATGTGTGGTTTTGAGAGAGATGGGCATGGGGGAGGGGGCCCAGGACTAGGTCACAGGTGCTGATGCCACATGTCTCTCCCACAGGACATCAGGGACACTCTGCGCAGGTAGGAGCCCGGCCTCTCCCCTGGATCGGTGGTTGGGTGTGGGTGGGCCTGTCTCCAGGGGTGACACCCGGCTGCCTCTCCAGGGTCCAGGACATGAAACTGCAGCCACCCAAAGTGGTGCCCATGGAGATGAGGACGGTGTGCAGGGTTCCGGGTCTGGTGGAGGCCCTGCGGAGGTTCCGAGGTGGGTGCTGTGGTTCATGGAAGGCGACCCCACCAGCTGGCTCTGGTCTGCAACAAGTGCTTGTCCTGAGCTCCTGCTGGTGGCCAGGGCCTGTGGCTGTAGAGCTGGGAGGAGGGGTCAGGGCCAGCAGCTGAGGGAGGTCCGGGCTGGGCTGGAACACTGGGGACGGGAAGAATGGCCATAGAAAGCACTTGGGTTACCCCTCCCTCCTAAAGAATAATGAATAGCATGGCAGTATGGACCACTTTCCAGAGCATCCCGAGTTGCAACTGCAAGTAGTTAGGTGATCTTTTCAGGGAGGACACAGGCAGGGTAGCAGTCACTTTGGCTAACTATGAGGCAGCCGGACCCGGGGAGGTGCTAGGTGAGCTCACAGAAGGGACCCCAGAGGTGATTACTGCGCTTTCTGCAGGGGACGTGACACTGGATCCTGACACCGCCAACCCTGAGTTGGTCCTATCAGAGGACAGGCGGAGTGTGCGGCGGGGGGACCTGCGGCAGGTTCTGCCTGACAGCCCTGAGCGCTTCGACCCCGGGCCCTGTGTGCTGGGCCGGGAGCCCCTGACTTCCGGCCGCCACTACTGGGAGGTGGAGGTGGGCGAGCGGGCCAGCTGGGCCCTGGGTGTCTGCAGGGAGAATGCCAACCGCAAGGAGAAGGGCGAGCTCTTCGCCGGCAACGGGTTCTGGATCCTGGTGTTCCTGGGGGGCTTCTACAACTCCTCCGAGCCAGCCTTTGCTCCCCTGCGGGACCCACCCCGGCGCGTGGGCATCTTTCTGGACTATGAGGCTGGGCACCTGTCCTTCTACAGCGCTACTGATGGGTCGCTCCTGTATGCCTTCCCTGAGACGCCCTTCTCAGGAACGCTGCGGGCTCTATTCTCCCCATTGTCCAGCAGCCCAACCCCCATGACCATTTGCAGGCCCAAGGGTGGCCCTGGGGATGGGCTGGCTCCGCAGTGAGCAGGCCTCTCGACCTTTTCCTATCTTTGGGTCTTTGAGGGTGTCCTGAGCCACAGAGGGTGACCTGAGCCATGGGAGGAGCTCCCAGTGTTGCTTAATGAGTGTGGTAAACCTTTCTCCCCATCACTCCCTGGAAGCCATGTGCGAGTGTGGGGCCATCAAGGTCCTCTCCCGGGAGACCTTCCACAGCCATTCGGTGTCGAGACCCCATTACCAGTGCATTGCTCACAGCCCTGTGTAGAGCCTGACCCTGGGGCCCCGACAACCCTGGGGCTGCACCCCAAGAGAGCGGTTCTGTGAGGCTGCTGGGGGTGAGAAGAGCCCACCAGCCTGTTTCGGGGTCTGGTCCTAGAAAATGGGGACGGGCTGTGGTTGCCTCATTAGGGTGCAGCAGATCTCAGGAGGGGGGATGTGGGAAAGGTCAAAGGAAGAAAACAGATGCAGACGGTGCTGAATGAGGGGCCAAGTAACCTGGACACGGGCCCTTAAGTCTCCCAGCGCAGACTACTTGCAGCTTCTGCAGAAGGCGTCTTCCCACCTGGGAGGTGTGCGCTGGCTCTGTGGCCCCAGAGTGATGCTCTGGTCCTGCCTGGGCGAGGGGCAAGGTCTCGGAGAACTCACACTTGCAGAATCCAGGATTCACTTTTTGCTAAAGTTTTGGTGCTTCACAAGAAGGAGTGGGGCAGCATCTCTGCACCTCGAGATTCTGTCTATTGTAAGAACTGTCCTCACAGTGAATAAACTTAACTGTTGACTGTAGTTCCCGCTGTCTTGAGTGGGGCGTGGGGAAGTCCGCTGCCGCTCATGGCAAAGTTGGTGCCATAGCCCAAACCCTCCCATGCTGGTGCTCACTTCCTGCAGCTACCAGGGTATTCCCCCACCCCACCCCCACCCCCATAACCTGGTAAATGCCTGTAGGTTCCACAGTATTCAAGAGCTAAGTACTTTACATGACTATTTATCTGTTCCCCCATTGTTAGTGTTTTTGTTATTTTATGTGTGTACCACTTTGAGTATCTTCAACAACAATTCCTTCAAATGATGTACACAGGTTTTTGTCAATCAAGCCAGGACTCTGGGCTTTTTTCTGGATGGAGAAGCTTTCCATTCTTTTCCCAAGCAACTGTCCACTTTCGCTTCCTGTTGAGAATCTGAGGATACTGGTTGATTCCTGCCTGGAGCAAGGTTTGGACTTCCCGGATGATCACCGGAACCCAGTTGGAGGGACAGCCTCAAGGTGAAAGCTCTGATGAGTACATGACCACACCCAGGACATCAGGGCAGATGCCTCAGTCACAGCTCTGGAGCAAAGCTGGACACCAATGTGAGGGAGAAAAATGTTCCCTCTACTTTCTGAGTCCTTAACTGGGCCCCTGTAATAAAAGGTGAACCAGAAAAGCAAGTTCATGAACATTTACACTTTATGTGCACATGGAAGGCACCCAGGGAAAAGGGAGTAACTCCGGGAGTGACTTAGAACTCTGGCTCCCACAGCCTCTGCGACAAGGAACAAGTGCGGAGAAATCACAGGCCAAAGAAAGCAGTTCAGGCTTCAACTTGAAAGGCAGCACCCACTGGCAGGTGAACAAGGGTAGAAAGGCTGGTTAGGAAGGTTATGTAGATTCCTTCAACCAACTCCACACTGAGGGTGTCTTAATGTCTCCTGCCACTGACTCAGTCCTTCCTGTGGAGAGGAGAGGGGGACACACCACCTTTTAGGCAGTTGGGGAGGGCAGGCAGGTGGCTTTTCCAGTATCTGCTGCTTATCTACTGCCTTCAGCCCAAGTGATCCTGTTGCCAAAGTGGGATGTTTGGGGTGGAAAGTTCTGTTATCCTTCACCTGGTAACAGAAATGGGCTTAGGTGACACCTGTCCACAGCACACCCTGAATGCGCTTTTCACACGTTTCTACCTGCTGAGCCAGGGACCACATGGTAGCCCCACACTTTTCTAGGTGCAAGAGACCATAGTGAACACATAAGATCCTGCCCAGGTAGCTAACAATGTAACAACTTACACAGATGTGTCCCAGCAATAGTGTGTATCAGCTCAAATAGTGGGTGTCTCCCACAACCAGCAGTAGGTGAGTCCCGCGGTAAGCAGGCAGCCCTCAGGAGCAGATGAGTGTCTTGGGGAAAATAAAGCTGGATGGACATAGAGCCAGGTGTGAGGATGTCAGGCAAACCAGGTTTCAAAAAATGACACTCCATGGAACCTACCAATTTCTTAAAATGCCCAGAAGCTCTGCCCCCAGATGGCACAGCAGCCCAGGGAAGAGGGAGGAAAGCAGTGAAAAAGATAAGTGAGCATTCTGGGTGTGGTCAGTGCTATGAATGAAATGCCATGATGGCCTGGGGGAGAACTCCAAAGTAGTGTGTGGCTACTCTCAGCCTTATGGCATAGTACATGTGGTTTAAGGAAATTTTAAAAATTTAAAAATAAAGCCACTGGTCGAGTGGCTCAGTTAAGAGAGCATCCCTGAGCAACAGGGTCGCCTGTTTGATTCCCACGTGGGTCAGTGAGTTGCGCCTGGGCTGAGCTGCTGCTGAGCTGCCACAGGTGGCAGGATGGCCCAGCTGGTGACAGCACGTGCTCCTAACAACAATGTTGCTGGTTCGACTCCCACATGGGATGGTGGGCTGCGCCAGCCCGATTAAACACAACAGCTTGAGCTCAGCAGCCGCAGGCTGCCCATGGGCGGCCGGATAGCAACTAAACTTGGAGCTGAGCGAGCTGCACCCTCCACAACTAAGACTGAAGGACAACTTGACTGTTCCCCTTCCCCAATTTACACAAATAGATAAAAATAAAGAGCCTTACCAGGCCTGGGTGGGTGTTTCCCAACGACCCTTTTCCTTCCCCTCCCAGTCTCTCCCAGGCATGTAATGTACTCACAAGGTTCCACAAAACATGGTCTTTCCTTTTTTTTTTTGAAGATTTTATTGGGGAATCGGGGAAGGGGAACAGATAACTTGCTATCATTTTGTTCTTCAGTTTAGTTGTGGAGTATGTTGCTTCACTGGCCCATGTTGGTATTATCATTGCACTCTTCCTGGGTGAGGCAGATCCGTCGCCGTCCCCTGGACGGCCGCTCACAGCGGCTCTTGGAAGCTCACACCGGCTACCAGCTGCTCACGCTGGCTGCCGGCCACTCACGGTAGCTTAGGGCAGCCCACTGCAGCCTACGCCTTCGCCGGCGACTCACAGCAGCCCAGCTCCAGGTCGAGCTGCTGCTCACCATGTTAGCTGTAGAGGGCGCAGTGTCACTGGCCCTCATGTGGGATCCGAACCGGGGCCCTGCTGCTCAGAGCTGGTGTGCCAAGCCAGCGCTTAACCAATGTGCCACTCAGCCTGCCCAAACACGGTCTTTCTTGTTTTTTCCCCCATTTCACACGTCTTAACTGGCTAACTAAGCCTGTGCAGTATGTAACACCCCCTCCACCCTGAGCCAGCAGGAGACGGGCAGAGCTGCCCCAACAGAGCTTGATTTTATTTTGTTTTATTTATTTTTAAAAGATTTTATTGGGGAATTGGGGGAGGAGAACAGACAAGTTGCTGTCCTTTTGTTCTTCAGTCTAGTTGTGGACGACAGCGCTTCACTGGCCCATGTTGGTATTATCATTGCGCTCTTCCCAGATGAGGCCGATAGGTCCCCAGCCAGTGGATGGCTGCTCACAGCAGCTCTTGGCATATCACACCGGCTGCCGGCCGCTCATGCTGACTACCGGCCACACGGTAGCTTATGGCAGCCTGCTGCAATAAGGGCTGCAGCCTACATCCTCGCTGGCGACTCACGGCAGCCCAGCTCCAGGTCAAGCTGCTGCTCACCATCTTAGCTGTAGAGGCCAGTGTCACTGGCCCTCATGTGGGATCCTAACTGGGGCCCTGCTGCTCAGAGCTGGCATCCCAAGCCAGCTCTTAACCAACGCGCCACTTGGCCAGTCCCAGAGCTTGATTTTAAATGACTTTACTGTCCACTTTTCATGCCCCCACTTTACTCGTGGAAAACGGAAAATCCAGTGATTTAAGTAAACTCTCCGTCACTCCAGACACACGTTGGAATCATGCCTATCCCGGCTTCTGACGGGACCGCGTAGAGCCTGGAGGGAGACCTGTAGGCGGAGTCCCCAGTGTCCAAAGGTCCGGAGACATACTCCCCAGCCGGCCCATTTGGGGGTGCTGCGGTGGTCCGCACTCACTGCACGCCGATGCCTGAAGCTATGAGGTCTTCGTGCAGGACCATCCCGTCCACCTGCACAGCATGCGACCACCCGTGTCGCCCCCCCCCAGCCGCCCTGAACACCTGGCGACCCTCCATCATCTCCATATCCCACACATCCCTGGGCAACTCTGACCCCCACGCACCCCGTGCCTGCTCTGGGGTCGCCTGAAACCTCCGTTCCCTCCCTAAACTTGGCCCCTCCACCCAGGCCCAATTACCTCGGTGCCCCACCCTCTGTGCACCCCGCTCATCCCACACCGTCGGTGCTCCAGGCTTTCTGTCCCCCACGTCTCGCGCCCCTCTGAGGCCACCAGCCCTCACCCTCGTCCCCGCCCCCAGCAACCCCCTCCTCCCTCTACCGGCGCCCTGCCCCACCCTCCTGGGCACCTGTATACTTGTATGCCCGCCAGACCCCTCTGTTCCCATCCTGCCCGGGATGCCCCCCCTGGACCTGCCCTGCCCAGACCTTCCTCTCCACATCACTGTTATTTTTTAAACAACTTTATTGTGATACAATTTCACACTATAAAGTACAGCTGTTTCAAGTGAACATTTTTTAGGTGATTTTTTTTTCAAGTGATATATATATTTTTTTACTAAATCCACCAACATCACAATCCAAGCTTCGAACATTTCCAGCATCTCAGAAAGATCATATTCCACTAGTATAGTGTGCTACATAACTGAATTTCAAATGTTAAACCAAGCTGACATTCCTGTGCTCAATCCCATTTGATCCAGTTCAGTGTGTTGCTGGATTCCGTTGGTTCAGATTTTGTTCAGGATTTTTACATCCATACTTCGGGGGATGTCAGACTATGGTTTTCGCATGGGGGTCTGTTGTTCTCTCCTCCAGTGTTTTCTGACATGTTTGTGAAAGATTGCTGTTTCCTCCTACATTGTTTTGTGGAATTCTCCACTGAAGACACTGATTCCATGCTTTTCTTTATGAGATTTTTCAAATACTATTTCAATTTATTTAATTGCTATGCATCTGTTTAGATTTTCCATTTCTTATGTAATTTTTGTCATTCCAGGAATTTGCCCATTTCATCTGTCTGATTTTCTGGCATAAAGTTGTTCAAATTATTTCTTGGTCATCTTTTAAATTATTAAAAGGTTGGTAGTGATGTTGTCTCCTCTTTCATTTGTGATCCTGGTAATTTGTACCTTTTTTTTTCTTGGTCAGTAAAACTAACATTTTGTCAAATTTACCATATTTTGCCATGTATATAATGTGCTTTTTTTTTTTTTTGCCCAAATTTGTGAGGGAAAAAAAGGATGTACATTATACATGGGTAGTACTAATTCTATATCTATAAATGTCTTTAATTCTTTTATTTATGCTTATTAGTTAAAAGTGTAACTCTAGAAATCAATAACGATATCCATATGCAAAATAATCCCTGGAATATGATAATCGGTTTTGTTGAACTTATGACAAACTTGCAACAACGAAAAATTCTTGGCCTTCTATGATGCGTAATTATCATAATGTTACCGGTACATAAAATTTCTTGTACCATAATATATTAAA